ACAAGTACCTCCAAACCTGGCCCTTGTGGAGCACAATGTATGTCCGTTTTGGGATGTTGGCCTGTCCCGTCAGCTCTCAGGGTGCCTTTGCGGTGGCAGACCTGTCTGGAAAGCTCTTGGACCAGGATCCTTCACCTTAGCACTGGCAACAGGTGCCCTGCCGCTCCTCATGGGCCGCGGTTCCCTTCGTAGTAACAAAACCCTGTGATATGCCAGGGGCTTCGAGCCCCTAGGCTGACCTCGTATCACCCTTGGCAAGTGGTGGGGCCTCTTTCACTGTTCCCCAGTGCCTACTTTCCCTTTGCCAGAAGGTACCCCAGGGCTCCATTTAGTGCTCTACAGTTGTCAACTCCGGAGCTTCAGATCCTGTGGGGCCAGCTGGGTGACAATAGTCTTCCTCCATGGACTCCAAGTATTCCGTGGCTTTATTGGCAAGTCCCTTCGCTAGCTCTACGACCCCAGCTTAGCTCTCCAGCAGATGATAGAGTTGGGAGAGGTAGCCTGAGAGTTGGGAGACAAGGGGTGCTGTGAGGCCTTCACCCAACTTAAAAAATTTCCCTCAGCCTCACTTTTTCCACCTATGAAATGGAGATGGTATATAAATTGTAGAGATTGTGAATAGACTCTGTAAACTGAAGCACCAGGCACACCGTTTTGGGCGGTGGTGGTGGCCAGAGGCAGATGCAGATGAAATAATGGAAACAGGCTGGATTCAAAGAAAAATTGTCATCCTTCAGTAAAACTTGCATTTCATTAATAAGTGTTTGTTAAATAAATTAGTTAATTTTCTGTTGCAAGAGACAGCAACAAATAAACAACAACAAAACTTGCATTTCATTTCCCAGGGGTTCCTGAAAGAAGAGGTTTTTACTAAAATAACCCCCAGCCAAAACCGCTTATTTATTCTTTCTAGAAGTGGAACTAAGTTTTTTCACCAGGGGGCATATTTTACCAATTTGTATTAGAAAAAAATAAATCGCATCCCACATTATAAAGAAGCCAGAGTTTCTCTTTCTTTCTCTCCCTCTCTGCCTCTCTCTCTCTTTATCCTCCCCTTTCTCTCAGGATGACTTTTATTGGTTGTATGGTGGAGCTTATTTCTATTTCCCTCATGGCTTAGTTTTTAAAATGCCACACTGTGCAAGGATTGGCTTCAGAAAGTGCCAGTTGGTGTTTCGAGTATGGCAGTCCCCATCCAACCCCACCACCAGCTACCCAAAGGAGGACTGCTGTGGGTGTGGGGGTTTGCTGTGTGAGTCAGTAAAGCAAATTGGGGGATACTGCCAAACTCAACTTTGGGTGTACACTTTCCATGTCACTGGGTTTACAGTACAGAGGTTTAAGACAATAGGTATACAGTGGACAAAACACTGGACCGAGAGTTGAGAACTATAAATTCTCAAATCTTGTCACTAATCCAGTGAGTCTGGGGCAAGTCACTACCCATATTTAGCTCTGTTTTCTCAAATGAACTGAAAGGGCCAGATGGGGGCTTTTGCTGTTTAAGAATCGTTTTCTGATTCTTAGGGAATAAAGGAGGCGCCCCTTAGGGTTGCCTCCATCATGACCACACCCCCAACATGCCATTTCATTCCCATGGCAATGGCTGTTTGGGCCTCACTGACCTCCAGTTCTTTAGCAGCTGCTACAGGTAGGAGGTTGCAGGACTTTGTTTAGGGGCCAGAGTGCTAATTTCTTTTTTTCTCTTACAGATCGAATTTATTCTAAAAGTTCTATCTTCACCTCAGTGAGCTCACAGTAAATGCTGGTGGAGTGTGAAGTCAGCAACAAAAAGAGGTATGACAGCTTTAGTTTACTAAAAAACCCCAAACACTAATATGTAAATGAGATTAACAACGCATTTTGTCCCATATCAAATCTCATTTATGAATGGTTCTTGTCTGAGTTATCACACAACTGCCACACAGGCTGCTAATGTGAGAGTGTGAAAGTGCTGGTCTGGAGGCAGGATTTGAACTAGGCCCCACTAGATGAATGTGTGACTTCTGATACGTCCCTTCTCTCTCTGGAACACAGTTTCCTCGTTTGTACAAGAAGGAGTTTAGACAACTGGTATGGGCTGAATTGTGTCTCCCCTGCCCCTAGCCCAATTCCTATGTTGAACTCCTCACCCCCAGTATCTCAGAATGGAACCTTATTTAGGAATTGGGCTGTAGATGGGATTAGTTGAATCATGCTGGAGTATGCTAGGCCCCTAATCTAATATGACTGGCATCTTAATAAAAAGAAGATATTTGGATACAGATATAGACATAGGGGAGAATGCCACGTAAAGAGAAATGCAGAGATCTGGGGGGTGCTTCTACAAATCAAGGGTCACCAAAGATGACCTGCAAACTACCAGAAACTAAGTGAGAGGCACATAACAAATTTTTCACCATCCTCAGAAGAAACCCAACTCTGCCGACGCCTCAGTTGCAGACCAGAACTATGTGACAATAAATTTCCGTTGTTTAACCATTCTGACAGAGTAAGTTAGACATGAGCTGGAGGCAAAGGTGGTGACAAATACATGACACATTACAAGCCTGAGGGCACAACATCCTGACTTTATGGCTTTTAACATCCTGGTCTTAAGGCTTTCCAACACCCCCGGGCTGACAGACCAAGAGCTACAGGTACAGAACTTGCGCTCTCCTCTCCAACCTCGACCCCCCAGGGTAAGCTATAGCTTCATTATAGTATATTTACACTGTGGTTTCAACGCCCACCCCCATGGAGGAAAATGGCCATGACAGTTCCAGCAAGAACCTTGTAGGGCCAAAAAACTCCCCCTCCCAGCTGGTAGGAGGAGTTCCTTAGGTGTTCAGACACAACCTCAATTGGAGACTCCGCCCTACCTATGACCCATAACCTATGCAAACATAAAAAGAAAAGAGACCCCTAGCCTCAGTGTAGTTGCCACCTCTGGGCCTGCCTACTTTCCCACCTTGAGAGTATACTGTCCTTAAAAAACTGCTTTGTGCTACCTACTTTCCTTCTGGCTGTCTTTATTGGAGCGCAGATCCTCATGTAAATCTTTTGTGGGGGATCCAAGAGACCTCCATTCACTCAACGCAGACTCTCTCCCACCAGTAACAATTCAATTTGTGGTTCATTGTTAAGGTAGCCCCAGTAAGCTAATGCTACTATATCAGTGGTTCCCAATCTTTTCACTACCAGGAACCCTTTTGCTCTTTGTCCTCCTGTGGACCCAATTCATTTATTTAACAAATATTTATTGAGCACCTACTATATACCAGGACCTCAGTCTAGGCATTGGAGTTACACAGAGTCACAAAGCAAAGTTCCCTCCTCTTGTGTTCATTCTGTATGTTTTTAAAAGATTTAGTTAGCCAAGTATATAATGGCTTAGTTTAGTTTAGTAATAATTTGTATATTTTCTCCGGAGATAACCAGATAACCAGGATTACCTCATCAATGTGATACACTTAGTGCCTAAAATCAAAGAAGGTCATATTCTAAGTAGCTGTTGATCCCTTATGGCAAGTGAATACATTGAATTTGTTAGTTTTTTTTTTAAATATTGAAAATTATTCTCAGAAACCCCATTGCTACAATTACGGATCCCTAGCGGTTCAAGGACTTCATTATAGGGTGATTAGCTAGAGCAGGAGTGGCAAACTTTTCCTGTAAAGGTAAAGGTAAAGATAGTAAACATTCTAGGCTTTGTGGACTATACAGTCTCTGTCACAACTACACAACATTGCCATTGTAGTGTGAAAGCAGGTATAGATGATATAAACTAATGAGCATGGCTGAGTTCCAATAAAATTTTATTTATGGACACTGAAATTTTAATTTCATATAATTTTCATGTGTGGCAAAATATTACTCTTCTTTTGATTTTTTTTTTTAGCCATTAAAAATGGAAAACCCTTTCTTAATTCACGAGCTGTAGGAAAACAGGTGGCAGGCAGGCTGTATGTATTCACCCGGCTGGCCACAGTTTGCCAACCCCACAGTAAAATTCTAATTTTGCCCTAGTTCTGGAATTAGGTGATTCTTATCCCCCTAAGGGTCTAGATGAGGGCCGGAGAGGAATTAAGTTTGAACTCAAACCCAGGCTTCCTGCAGCTCAGTCCCCAGTGCTTAACACTGTTTTAAGCTGCCTGCCGTGTTTAGTCATGATTTCACATGTGGTCTTTGTATCCATGTGGTGCAGAAAATAGATGTGTGGTCAGCGGCCCTTTCCAGGCGTTGACCATGTAAGGGTTGTCCTCTTATTAGCAGCCAGTGGCAACCTTATTTTGTCAAGGCTGACCGTAGGCTTACGGCACTGTTTTCGTTTATACGTCTCTCGGGTTGCACGGGCCCGGGAGGCCCATCTGTCCCTTACTATTTGAGTCCCTGTTGTCTCATTGGCAGCTTTCTGAGCAGCTGCAAAATGTTTTTAACTTGAAGTGGAAGTTGGGGTCACTGGCATCGTCAGGCCTGAACAGTCACTCTCAGCAAGGGCTCTCTCAGCTCCGACATTGACTAGCTTACGGACTCGGGTGAGTGTTAAACTAACTCCTCCCACTTTCCCATGGCTGGACTTTCACTGTTGGTAATAATAAGGCATTTCTCAAGGGCTGGGGAATAATGTGCACACTGCTTTTTTTGTGTTGTCTTCGGAAACTGCTTGGTTGCCTAGGACCACAATCCTCTCTCTGCCTGGTCGTCCTTCTTTGCGGTTCATCTGCTCGGGTAGCCTCGAAACCGCAGCTCGGCGACAGGGGTCCCCACGGGGACCAGAGGTGCTCAAGCGCGCTCAGGTGGCGGCGGCACCGCCGCCCACCTCGGAGGACCATGCTGCGAGGCAAGTCTCGGCTCAACGTAGAGTGGCTGGGCTACTCGCCCGGCCTGCTCCTCGAGCGCAGACAGCTCCTGACAGGGCGCACGCCTCGGAACCCTGGCCGGTAAGTCACGTGAGCGCCGGCGCGGGCGCAGCTAAACGTCACCACGGCGCGCCGCACTTGCGCATTGCGTCCCGCCGCGCGGCATTGGCCGGTACTTCCGGCGCGGCACGCCTCTACCGGTCGCCTGCCGAGTGGACGGAGTGCGGTACCAGAGCCCAGCCCGCCTCCCAGCACCTGCTGCGGGCGCGGCAACACCATGGAGCGCCTTGATAAAGCGGCGCTGAATGCGCTGCAGCCGCCCGACTTCAGGTAGTCCCGAGCGGGGCCCAGGCCGGCTAGGGGTCCTGATCGCAAGACGATCTGGCCCTGGCCTGGAGTGGGGTGTAAAGGAAGGCCCGAGCCGAGCGGGCTGGCTTGCAGTGGGCGTGAGGTCTGGACCCTCAGGGCCGGGCTGCGGGGTGGGGGAGAAGGGAGGTAGGTTCGGGTCTGCAGAGTCTGCACGCTCGGGAGCAGGGACCTGGGGTCATAGGGGAGACGTCGGCGGGCCTTCAGCACATGCTTCTGTTCTAGCACTTCCTCTCGCTGTCGTCTGTTTTGCGATCTTGCTCTCTGCAATCTCCCCACTGCAGGGTGAGCTCCCTGAGGACAGAAACCCGGCCTTCTCCATCTACGTGTCCCCTACGGGGCCTGCATCGTCGGGGCTTAAATGTTTGCTGTATCAATGAACGAAGGGAAGAGAGTAGGGGCTGCCCCTGGTTTGAGACTACTTCACTTGGAGGAGTTAGTAGGATGGGGGTTGGTGGCTGAGTAGAATGGTGGTTCTGGCCCACGAGCCTAGCCAGCGACACCTCGGTACGCAAGAGGGTGCGGAGGGATTTAGCTGCCATTGGATGATGACTTACTGTGTGCCATACTCAACGTAGGCTCTTTATTACACACTTCAGCAAAATTAAGAAAGTGTTATTCCCCCCCTTTATTTTTTTAAAGAAGATGAAGTTAGGATAAGTGACTTGCCCAAGATCACACAGTTAGGTCACACAATTAGAAAGTGTTGAAGCTGGCCTTTGACCAATCCCACTGATTCGAAAGCCCATGATCTTTGGAGCCCCGTCACCCTTTTCTCTCTCTCACGATGTCAGTGTAGATGTTTTTTTAAATTATTGTTTATTAGAATACCAAGAGATAATTTTGTCAAATACACTTAGAATACAGTGTAGCCCTCCTAGACTGATTCTAGTGTTTCCTAATGGAATTTACAGTGAAATCTACTTGCAGTGGAAGTCTTGCTTGCCACAGAAGGGAACCTGGTAAGCTGTATCTGCCTAGTGCTTGCTGTGGAAGTTCATATCAAGTGGGTAAACTCTAGGTGGTTTTAAGAGTCGGGGAACAGTAAGGTTCATCCTGAGTTCTTTGTGTGAGGCCCACTTTAATTCTGGACTTTCCCATTCTTTATTTCTAACAAGTCTCTGTAACACCCAATGAGAGATACCTAGAAAAAATCAGTTGAATGACATCAGTTGCTTTGTTTTAGAATAATTCACCTGTTACACCCAAGCTGGCTTGTGCCAGCAGAACTGCCAGCTGCGGTGGGGTTGTGGCTGGAAGCCAGAGAGAAAATGTCCTGTAAACACTAGAGGAAGTTTGCTAGTTTTCAAAAGTTTATGTGCTTAACTTTATACTTAGTCCCATATTTGTGAGGTCAGAACCCAGAATAAAAGTCAAATTTTGGGGGCTTAAGGTAAAAGAAGTGAAAAAGAGTTGAAACTATGAATTGCTAAGGTGAGCCCATGCCTGACATAGAGTGTGTGGGGCTAGAAATTTACATGTAGAAAAGAAAAGATTATGTTTGAGTGGTGGGATTGTAAATGCTTTTGTTCGCCTTAACACATTTTTATATGGTATTATATCATCTTTTCAATAATGTTTTCTGAAAGCCAGGTCAGATATTAGATATTCAAGAGAGATGATCTGAAGAACAAAAGAACCAGTTAACACTCCCTTTCTCTAGATTCTCAAGCTTTGTTTCTTTATCAGGTTAGCTATCTTAATTTTGCATGCCTAAAACGCATACTTGAACTCACCATGGAAATACCCAGAAGGTCATATTTTTTGTTGGGATTCATGAAAGAAGTGGTCAAATACTGACATTGAATTTTTATAGACCTACTGTAGAACTACTCATATTCTTCATGAAAATTACCCAATAAATTTCCCGAAAAGTTTACTAATAGGAAACAGTTTAAGGGAGCATAACTATATTAGATGAGGATTGTGTAGCTCAGTGATCATTGTAGGAGGATGTGTTAAAAGATGATCCGCTGAAGTAGGAAAAGAAAATATTAGAACTTCTACATGAATTTATTTTAACCTTATCCTTTTTAGTATCTAGTTTTGCATATGTTTTATATTTTAAGGAATGAATTGATAATATGTGTGTAGATGATCTGTTCAAAAAAACCAGTATTCCTGTATATGGGGTTTGTGCTCAAAACTTATATTTAAGATGAATTAATAGTCAAAAAAGTTTGTGGACCATTGTTTATAAACCATAAACTTAAGATGTTCCCTTCCTTTCTGAGCTGCCAGAAACCTCCTCGCCAGTCATTTACACAGTTATAAGGACCCCTTTGCCTGGATTTTCTAGGGCTCCAGAGAAATGTGCAGGAGTATATAGGAAGCAAGCTGGCACATTAAGTGCTGTAATAACAGGTATGAGCTAAGTGTGATTGCATCCCAGAGCAATGAATCATTTCAGCTGGAGTGATCAGGAAAGGTGCCTAGGAGAGAGGCTCTTTTGAGGGGGACCTTGAAGGCTGGGCTTTCTCCTTCCTAAAGATATGGACAAAAACTGGAGCCTCTGAGGATTACCAAAAAGAGAATTAATTAAGTTCAAGTGTTGACAATAAGCATAAAGTGTGAGGTGTGTTAGGGTAGTCTGCGGATGGTTAGATTTAAGAGACAAAAAGGACCTTAAGCTAAATGATTAAAGTTATAGGGTTTACTGCATTTACAATGTAGGTGGTGGTATGAGGTACAGATGTGTCCAGGATTGCTGGAAACCTGTGGCTTCACTTTCAGTAGTGCTGCTCATTTGTAGCAACGTACAGGACAAATGTTGACATATATCCACTTATGGAAAAGTCAGTGAAACAATGTTAAGGAACATTTTGAAAATGGGGAAATAACTTTATTTTTGTATATTAATCTGGAGTCCTTTTTTATGTGCACACATTTTTAACATAATTGGAATGGTATATGTCAGGAGTTGGTGAAGTTTTTCTCTAAAGGACCACATAGTAAATATTTTAGGTTTTGAGGGCCGTATAGTTTGGCACCACTACTCAGCTTGTCCTTTGTAGCTCCAAAGCCACCTTAGATGATACATAAACAAATGGGTGTGTCTGTGTTCCAGTTAAACTTTATTTATAGAACTAGGTATTGGGCCCTTAGGCCTTATTTTGCAGACCCCTGATATACATAATACGATGTAGTTTGCCTTGTTCATTTGTCACACGAGGACTTTCTGAGTAATGGTCAAAATTCTTTTTAATGGGTCCATACATTGATATACATCAATTGTGAAATCATTTTCTTACTATGGATATTTTTATTGTATCCAGTTTTGTTTGTGCTTTTATGTTAATCTTTTTTTATGTCAATCTTTGTATTAATGTTTTTAAGCAGCAGATTATCAGACTTGTTTTTCTTCAAGTATATAATTTGAAAAGCTTGATTGCATTCTTCAGAATGGTTTTATTGTATTCTGGAACAAAACTTTCTCCACTGGAATATTTCCTTGATTTTAAAATAACCTCTGGACAAATAGAGTTCACTAATAGAAGGTGTTTTGACGTTCAATTTTTAATGCATGTTACATGAAGACCATCTAAGTTGTACTATAGCTATTTAATTACAAAGAAATTTAAGTTTCCTTCAGCTGCATCCAAATTGTTCTAGACTGCTTTTTCTCGGAGATTCTCATACCTTGTTTGTGGTGTATCCAGCTAGCCCTTGATAGGATGCTTTGTGAAGGAACATCATTAGTTGTTTACTACCTCCATTATAAATTCTGTAATTAGGGTACACTTGGCGTAGCACTTCGGAGACTACAAACCACTTTCATACTTTGACGCTTCCTCACACTGGATCTGAGTAACAGTCTCTTGGGTGTTCTGTAGGTCTTTAGGATCTTCTAATTTTGAGTCCCTGTCTCTACTCTTCTTCCTCTGGCCACTGCTTCTAAGGCAGGGGCAGGGTTTCCAGCATCTTCTCTGTGGACACAAAACCAGTTTGAAATGGCTGTGCAGGTTCTGATTTTCTCTTTGTTTACTTTCTTCCAGAAATGAAAGTTCATTAGCATCTACCCTGAAGACGCTCCTGTTCTTCACAGCTCTAATGATCACTGTACCTATTGGGTTATATTTCACGACTAAATCTTATGTTTTTGAAGGTAATCCTCGATGATGATAAAACAAGACGTGTTCCCCCTTAGTATATTTAAGATTCCATGTGTTTATGATCTCTTTGTATCTGTAAGCTGGGTGTTCTTAATTTGCTTCTTCCATCTATTTCTGTTTTGCTTTTCAAAAATCATGTTCAAATGAATCTTCCTTCATGAAATTAACTTGTTCATCATTGAGTTATTTTAGCATGACAGTGTATTTGTTGATGGTGTTCTGTGAAATAGCTGGCAAGTCCTTTCTTTTACGATACCTCTGACAGCAAGAGGTGGCTGACATGGGAGGAGGAATTTGGGGCAACGTACCTTTGGTGGCAGACATTAGTAGAAAAAGAAAATAAAGTCCCCCTTTTTATGTCGAAGTTCGTAAATGAAGTGATAATTAAGTTTTCACTCAGAATAATGTTCTTTGTGTATAGAAGGTATTCAGATCTTTAAATGAATACTTGATTTATCACCACCCAAAGCATTACTTTTTAATTGCCTGACTAGTTAAATAAATATATAGCTAATAAAAAGCAGTATGCTTTGTTTTTTGCACTTTGATAAATTTTGGAATAAAATGGAAACTTTTTTTCTCTTGATAGGCGCCTTTGGGATGTCCAATAGGGACAGCTATTTTTATGCTGCTATTGTTGCGGTGGTCGCCGTCCACGTGGTGTTGGCCCTCTTTGTTTATGTGGCCTGGAATGAAGGCTCACGACAGTGGCGTGAAGGCAAACAGGATTAAATTGAACATCACCTTTTGATAGCATTGAATTGATTTTTAAAAGTGGTAAATGTGTCTGGGATATTGATGATTTCAATAAAGTTGAGAACATGTTAAAATCAATCTGAAGGAGTCACATTTGACTAGTGTAAATTTTGATCCTTCTAATACAATGATTTGTATCATCAGTTTTAACTGTATGAGCCTCTCATTTGCAAATGAGCATTTGGAAAAGTTACGTTGGTCACAAATAAGTATGTTAACTTAGTTACACATTCTGGGAAGAATTTGATTTTCTCACAACCAAAAATGTTTTACAGCATTTTGTCTTTTGGTTGGTTTTAAGGTTTACTTGTCTGGATACGTTAAGATGTACACAGTGAAGGAAATCTAAACTATTTTTCACTGGAACGCTTTCCTTACTATTATGAAAGTCCTGGGTCATTGGATTTTAGGTTGTAAATTCCCATGCAAAATTGCTTGAATTATGGATTTTGGACTTCATCTGAATGTCACTGAGAAATTTTGCCTAAAGTGTAATCCCTCGTCTATAGGAATCTTTTTCATTACATTATTTCATGGGAAGACTAGGCTGAATCATACCCATTCGTGTAAAAGGACTGGTTTATTGAAGGATCTAGGTAGCAAAGCAAAGAGGTAGCTACCTGGGCACTCAGCCTGTGCAGGCTACCCTGTGCTTTTAGGCTAACTTTTTAATGATCTGCTTTGCTCTGTCATTGAACAATGAAGTAATGCTTTCATTACAGGGCTTGTGTAAACTCCCTTTCAGTTTGTTTTTCCTACTTTTTAATAGTTATAGGAATTTACATTTAAATCTGTCCGTTTTCACATATTTCCTGAAAGTTGATTATCTTTATCATCCAGGAAGTATTCTTGGGATTGCTAGTCAAGTTTTTTTAATAAGAGCTGTTATATCCTTTTTTAATCAGAGCTGTTATATATAGTTACATAATCCTGAGGTCCTATTTGATAGAAAGAGACCCTGTGGTTTTAGTTCAGTATCCTTAAGTCTCTTCTTTCCAGCTACTTGGTACTACTTGTGTGCAGTCTAAAAGCACACCTGGAAAAATGCATATTGAAACAGGAAGAGAATTTAAATTCCCTGTGATGTTGCCACCTAGAGATAAACACTATTTTGGTTTATATCCCATGTGCATTTCCTAATGCTAGTTCAATACACTGAACATTTGGTTTAAGTTCAAATTCTGCCTGTGTCACCTCACAGCTGTTTGCATTTTTTTCCCCAGATGAATCATTATTGGCCATTTTACTGAAAAAGCACATTCTACCTTTACTCTTTTTTATAGGTAGATATCTCGTTCCAATTTCCTGTTACTGGTAATTCCTAATACAGTGGCCCTTGCTGTTTTTGCCATAACTGATTTGTCTGTTCACCCCTATTTTTGTTGTGCAACTGGACTAAAGGAATAGGGAGATGGTTAGGCATAAAAGCTAAGTAGGCATTTGTGTTAATTGTTGAGAAAAAATGAAAGATGACTATGGTAGGACTATTATTTTTGCTTATAGTTAAATAATTATCTACAGTTTAAATGTCTTTAAGCAATTATTCTAAATGTAAAGTGTTTTCTTAAAGACTACAGTTTTAGTATAAAATTGTACAAATTTAATGTAAAATTGTAGAATACCCCAGTTTAAGTCTTGGGTACTATGTGGTAGATTTCTAAATGGTTGTCCCTTTAGATGCCTTGTTATACTTAGAATTTTTGTCCACCTAATTTCTTTTCTATAATGCCAAGGTTTTGTACTTTTGAGGTCTCATGTTGTTTGTAAAATATGAATGTCCAATGTTAGATTATTTTGTTTGATTTCAGACGTTCGCTGAGTAGAAAATGATATGGGTGTTTTTCTGCAAGTATTTAAACCAGGGATTCACGCAAAAGCAGTTGTAATTTCCTCTTGGAAAAAGTACCAAGTGTTTGAAAGTTAGAATTGGATGCTAGGGTTGATATTTAGGATTGTTAAAATACAGACTTGTTTTCAAACCAGTTAATTTTTTCCTGGAGTTTTAACTGTTAACTCACTACTTTGCTGCTGTTGAAATGACACACGGTATTTGACCTACAGATTTATTTTTCAAGATGTCTCACTGATTTCCGGTTGCACGATGTACATACTTCAGGATGTATAGAAAGGAAAGCTACAATTGAGCCCTTATATGTGTTTTAAGATAGGAATATGTTCACTATTGTTTGAAAATGGATTGTTAAGGATAACCTCAATTAGGAAGTGTAAACTTGAAGTGTCAGCACGAGCTACTGATAAACACATTACCTTCCTCACCTCACCTCCCATTTTGCACCTTCCCCCGCCAGAATATAATCTTTTCTTCCCTGTTGTGCTAGAAAATGAAGTGTGTTGTAGAATGCATCTAATGTTATTAGCTCTTCAAGTGGATAGATACTGTTGTACGTGTAACAGCAGAATTCAGTTTTGAGTTGTTACTGAAGGAACTTAAACATCTTTTAAAAAGACCTCCTGTTTCATGGAAATCTAACATATACATTGTAATAATTAGGCTATTTTCATCATAAAAATCTCATCACCTTTGCCAAAAGAGGCAGCTGATTGACTTGTTTGATATTTATCTGCCATTTTCATGTAAATTTTATATATACAGCTAGAGTACCCAAGGAGACCAGTAAAAACAGTTAAGGTGTACCCAAGGAAAGATGATAACCAAAGCTACATGAAACAAAGAAATATCTAGTGTGTATTTCTCATCTCTAGACAAGTTGATGTTTATTGTTTTATTTATGAACAAGTGAAGTCGTAGACCATTGTTGGTTCAGCAATGGCACAGAATTTGTCACTTGTTGAGGTCAGCAGCAGATTGTCTCTGCTGTCAAGCGATGGGTGTCCTCCGACAGAGTAGTACAACTTTATTAGTTAGACTCTACTCTTATATTTAAGATAAGTTTTGCGAGAGCTGGGCTGAAGCCACACATTGATAACTTGACAAGATTTCTTTTTTCTTTTTGCAGAAGGGAAAGGGTCACCTGAGAAATTATTTTCAGGGACTTTGGGAATCTAACAATAACTATTACATGGAATTTATGAACAGTAAAATCCTTTATATATTCATTAAAATAGTCTGGAATTCCCCAATTTGCCATCACTCCTGGCCACACTTTCCTTTCCTGTTTCATTGCTTCACGTTCTTGAGAGTAGTATCTGCATTCCTTTTAAGGTGTTCTATCAGTCATATTTGTCAGTTACACGGACTAGTCTTCCTTTTTCTCAAGTTCAGTGAAATCTCACTGGACAGTAATAATAGCAATAGCTAACAACATCTGCACAGCACCTTACAGTTTGCAAAGAACGTTCACATTCTTGTTTTGAGTTTGGCCTAGTGAACCTGTTACGAGGTATCTCTTGACATCCTTGCTGAAGATGTTAGAATCTTTAACTCAGTAGAGTCATTGAGTATGCTGTAGTCTTTGAATAGTGCCCTGACTAGGGGCAGGGATTAGATGCGCTATTTTGAAAGCTGTGTGTAATTATCGAAATGGGGGGCTTGAGTTCTTTAGCCACTTGAATCAGATTTACTTTTGTAAGTGATACTTTTCTAACTGTTAACCTGGATGGATTTTGTATCCATTATATTCTAGCCTGTAATTTGTATAAATTTACCATCTGTTGTCATTAAAAAAGTGTTCGTAATGTGACTTCGATGTGTCCTGATTCAGTGAATAGTAAGTTTATTAACATCTTTGTTTTTTTTTAACACTTATTTGCCTGTATTTATACCGTATAAAATATATAGAGTTGTCAAGGGTAAGTTTTTATGCAATAATTGTAGACCAGAGGTGCTCAAACTGGTGGGGGCTCTGAGGGGTACTGAGACAGGAAGGGCTGGTTATATCCCATCTGTGGTGGACCCATTAGAAGTGGTGTGGCAGTGAGGAAAGAAAGCAGTATCTTGTCCTGTGGCTTTTTAAAGAACATTCATTTGGGAGGGAATGGGCTTCAAATACTGCTAAAGGAGTAATACTTGTGGCTAAGTAATTAAGTATGGGGGTAGTCAATTCCTTGCCCTGTCCAGCATGCCACCCCCTTGTGCCAGTTGCCTTTGTCTGTGGCCGTCTAGCCACCTTTTGATTGTACTCCAGCTCCTTTCTGTGCTTCTAAGGGCTCTAGCTAGTTCTTAAAAAATACTATCCACCTATAAAAAAGATTTGAGGCATCTTAGTATCAAGATATACAGATTATGTACAATTGTATTTACATAAAAAGGTACAGATTATAAGATGTCCAGGGAACTCTGGACACAGGTAATGGCATTGCAGAAACCACTGGAATCACCCTAATAGGATTTCCTGCCCAGACTTACTGAATCTGAGCCTCTGGGGGTGGGGCCTGGAATGGAAGTACTTGTCTGTAACAGGCCATATCTGATGAAGCCAGTTTGAGAACTGCTGTTAGAGATTGGGAATTGGTAATGTATGTTTTTAATGCTGGACTTGAAGATGTTTCTATAAAGCAGGCCTGAAATAGGTACTTTATTAAGCAAAGGTAGAGTCCTGCACAATGCTATGTATTGAAGGCTCAGCTTAAAATCGGGAGAGCTTTCTTGGCTACCCAACCATCATGTTGACTTTGCTGCAGTGTTAAGGAATTCTATGAAAACTGGTACAGGGACAGCCCTCTTAGAAACAGCTAAGGCATATTGAGAAATGGCCGCTGCTGTTCCGCTGATGCCTTCCTCTTATTTGGAAATCTTACTGTTGGCCTTGCAGAGAAGGGAAAAGCTAGCACAGGCATTAAGAGAATCTGGTTTCAAAAGCAAAGGAACTAATGGAGAAGACTGGAAATGGTTTCCTAGGCATATCTGCTCTATGAATAGTATGACGCCCCGCCCCCAAATACTTTTCCTGTCACTGCTTCCATCTTCCCGCTTCATTTCCTGTACACCCTGTTGTTTTGCCCATGCTCACTCCCACCTCACAGCTTTATACTGGCTGTTCCCTCTGCCCAGGACCCTCTCCCCCAGATCCTCCCAGGGCTGGCTCTTTCTCACCCTTTAGGTCTCAACTCTCATGTTGCCTCTCCAGGCCTCCCCCGTCCCTCTCACAACACCTGATATTGGATGAAATTATCCTGTTTGTTGACCTGCCTCCACTATACCGTGTGCTTCAGTATGCCACTGAATCCCCAGTGCCTCACACTTATTTTAGTATGGATGTTCTTGACCAACTGGAAGTACCAGAAACCACAGTTCAGACTGGCTTAAACAATGGAAGAGGTCAGAGATGGGGCCAATCCATCCGCACAGTTTAGAGTTCCTGCTCCATTTCTCTCTGATTCTCTCAGCATGTCCTTCTCAGTGTGTTGGTGACAACCTCAGGCTTCCCTGTCTCGTGATAACAAAATGGCCGCAGCCATTCGGGGGCTTCATCTGTACACCACAGATAGTCATCAAACCATTCAACAAACCCCCTGAGCTTCACTCTGGACTAAATCAGGTTACATACCCACTCGTGAAACAATCACCTTGGCCAGGCAATGCCAAGCATTGGTGGGTTTATGCCTGGACAAGTGCCCAGTTCCAAATCAATCACTTGGTTAACTCAGGCCACTCAGTGACCACCCCTGAGGAAGGGGTTTGATGCTGGTGAGGCTCCTAGCATGTTCACTGCAGGGCTCAACAGATGTGTTAAGTGGAAATGGCAATATGCAGTGTATACACACGTGTAGATATGGATATGGATGTAGATAGGGATATGGACATGAATACACTTTGGAGCATGGAACCAATGTCAGTGTCAGGACAGGGCAGGACCTGGTGTGGGGCCATCCCCCAGAGGACCTTACAGCTGTGTGAGGGCTGGGCCCGTAGTAAGTGGCAAGATACCAGCGGAGTCTCTCTGTACCAAATTTGTCAGTTCTGACTTAGGAAGAAAACTGAAATAGTTGGAGAGTCATCAAAATCTTTCTCCCATCTGTATCTGTGCTTTTCTGTTTGCAGGACTCTGCACTCTGTTCTGAAATCCTAACACATCCCTTCTCTCAACCCCTCCCTGGCCCCAGCCCTCCCCACAGCATCTGTGGTTCTTTATAAACACAGGTACCCCGGGGGCGGCATGCTGTATCCCTGCATACAAGCAAAGCAGCAGTGCAGCTGGATGTGCTCTTTGTGGGTATGGCACCTGGGGTTTTCCTGTTCAACCAGGTTTCATAGAACATAGCAGTTGCGGTCATTCAGCTAGGATCCCACTTAACACATGTCCCACAGACAGTAGTGGCAAGAGGCAGCCTGGCACCTGCGTCTGGGAGCACTGGCTAGTGCTCTGCTGTGTGATTCTGCCTTTATCAGCGATGTCATCAAGTTTACCTCTTGCCTGTTAACATGCGCAAAAACAGAACAAAAGTAGAGTAGAAATAATCTGATTTTTCTCAGCTATATGTAACTATAGAAATACTTGTTTTAAAGAAAAGTGTATGTTGCATAGCCTGATGTTTTATTGCTTTAAAAATACTCACAATAGAAAATGAAACTGTTTGGGAGCTGTGAAAAATGAAGTCTGCTCGCACTTCTACATTCCATTTCTTTCCTAAAAATGGGATGTAGAACAGACCAAGGGCACCATGCCTTCGCCCCCTGCCCAGTATTTCTTTTTTTTTCCTTTCCTTTCCTTTCCTTTCCTTTCCTTTCCTTTCCTTTCCTTTCCTTTCCTTTCCTTTCCTTTCCTTTCCTTTCCTTTCCTTTCCTTTCCTTTCCTTTCCTTTCCTTTCCTTTCCTTTCCTTTCCTTTCTTTTTTCCTTTCCTTTTCTTCTCTTTTCTTTTAATAGTGGCGTGGATCTTTTTTCTTTTCTTTCTTTTCTTTTTCTTTTCTTTTAATAGTGGCGTGGATCTCTTCTCCTCTCCTTTCCTCTTCTCTTCTCTCTTCTCTTTTCTGTTCTCTTCTCTTCTTTTCATAGTGGCATGGAGCCTAATGTGGGGCTTGAACTCATAGCCCTGGAATCAAGACCTGAGCTGAGATCAAGAGTCAGACATTTAACCAACTCAGCCCCCCCGGGTGCCTCCCCTAGTATTTCTGCTGCTTCTATGTAGAAATGCAGTCCTCTACCTCCACCCTTTGCTTAGTCCTCCTTCCCGACCCATCTTGGACCAACTAGAATTGGGATTGAAAGTTGAAGGGGAAATGAATAGAAAGCTCAGTCAAATGGAATAAGCAAGAGAAGTTAAACCGGTTTTTCCAACTGACGTGGCAGAGGGTCTGGTGGGAATTGTCATGTGTGGTAGGCAGAATTCTAAGGTGCCCCCAAGAGTCCCACTGCCTCGTGTGCCTGCCTTGTATCCTGTCTGCCTCTTGACTACAGATGGAGTCTGTGAATGTGATGGGATGATAGCTCTCTGGATTAGAGTACTGCATGAATTTGCTCAGGCCACCATAACCAAGTACCACAGACTGCATGGCTTAAACAACAGAAATGTATTGTTGCACAGTTCTTCTGGAGGCCAGAAGTCCAGGCTCCAGGTTTTGGCAGAACCGAAGAACCTTGGCTGGTAGACGGCCATCTTTTTCCTGTGTCTTTACATGCTCTTCCCTCTCTGTGCATGTCTGTGTCCTAATCTCTTCTTATAAGGACACCAGTCATAATGGACTAGAGTTCACCCTAATGACCTCATTTTAACTAATTACCTCTTTAAAGACTGTATCTCCAAATACCTTCACATTCCGAAGTATTGGGGGTTGGGACTTCAACATAGGGATTGAGGGGGAGGGGACACAATTCAGCCCCATAATATTACATTATATAGTCTGCTAGGCAGAATAGTGACTCCCCAAAGATGATCACATCTGAATCCTGGGAACCTGTGAAAAAGGAATTAAAGGTGCAGATAGACTGAAGTTTGCTATTTCGCCAACTTTAAGAGGGGGAGAGTATCCTGGATTATCCGGATGGGCTCGATATTATCACAAGGGTTTTGTGGTAGTCTAAAAAAATAGCACTCCAAAGATGTACTCACCAGTTTCTGGATTCTGCGAATATTACTTTGTATGTCAAGAGTGGATATCACCTTACATGGAGAAAGATGTGATTAAATTAAGGATCTTGAGAGGAGGAGTTTACCTGGATTCTTTTGGTAGGTGATCTTCGATAATCCCTCATAACCTAGATGCAGTCGCATGTATCCTTATAAGACGGAGGCAGAGGGAGTTTGAAACAGAACCACACAAGAAAGAGAAGGCCCTGTGAAGAGAGAGGCAGAGACCGGAGTGATGTGACCATAAGCCAAGGAAGCCTGGGGCCTGCAGAAACTGGAAGAGACTAGGGAGGATCCTCCCCTAGAGCCCCCGGAAGGAGTGTGGCTGTGCCCACATCTTGATTTTGGACTTCTAACTTCCAGCTGGAACTCCATGATTGCAGTTCCTTAGATAGGTCACCAGCTTCTCAAAACACCAGGAGCCCAATGGTATGCTTAAGAGAGTTCCAGGGGGAGCGTCACGATTTGGTTCTCGACTGGCCTGACCCCCACCCCCGATGTCTGCCTGGGTGAGCGCTAGTGGTCCATGCATTTCCATGCAGGTAAGCATCACATCAACCAATTTTGCTGACACTCTCTATGCCCGGTGCCCTGCCTTGTGCCTGCCACAGAATATCCGTTGCATGTGTTGAGTAAATGAATGTCATTCCATATTGTGTCCCTTTTTAGAATTCT